TGATCACCTAGATTAGGCTTTTCATATCTACGTCTGAATTAGACCTTCAATCCGTAATTGTTGTCGTGTTTAATTCATAAGAGGTAACCGGAAGATGGTAACTACCGGGGATAACACGGCCTAATTAAGTGAACGAACGCGGTTGAGTTCACTACTTAGTCTAGCCTATTTTTTTAATTCGTAAAGCGGCTGATTGTATTAAATCTTGAAAACGTTTTTCTGGACTGTACAAGAAGTCATGTTTAATCGTAGAGCGTCTCGCGGTTAAATTAAAAATAAGGAAAAATTCGGGTAACAGACCGTGTCGTTGCCTAGGGCTAGTAATTTCATAAGATAGCGAGATTTGATTCTAAAGTTGATTAGACGAGTCAGTCGAGGGTGTAGACGGAACCGTGAACTAAAAAGTTCTCTTCATTTATTTTATTTATTTTTTTATTTCATTTACTTTATATTCTTAGGATTTTATTTAATTTAGTTATTAAATCTCAAAATCCCCCCATCTTTTATTGCTTTTTATAGTTTCAATTAATACGAGAAATTCACGATTTGATTCACACTCTTCGTGGGATCGACCCTTACTTGCCGCTACTACTAGTTAGTAGAGGTTAGCTGAGGAAAATATAAATTATAATTTTGCCGCGTTGCGACGCGCGGTCACAACCTTTGTAGTTAAAATTAAAACAAAAGAATACTTCACCGTCGAGTAGAGACGAATCTCTAATCATATAAAGTTCTTGCTCTAACCAGTCATTTTGAGGCACGTGTGAACATATCTTGCCGCCATTCATATTTCAGCAAGTACAAGTTTTAAAGTAGTCACACAAAACACTTTTATATATATAGGACGAATGGAGAAGAGAAAATTGAGAAATACAGATGTTTAAACAGTTGATGTGGGCATATTATACCTATTAGTCTATTACCTTATATAACACACATAAGCTTACGTCTTCCCCCAATCATGGGTTTATAGATCTTATATAGGTCACGGGTCTTCACAAAATAATATATTTCATTAAGTTGTAAAAGCATTTATATGTTTTTATAATTATTAATTTGTCCTTATTTTTAGTTGGTAAAAACCCAAACATTTAACTTTTCTTTCTATAAAGTTTTATTTTTCTTGGATGAATTGTTTTGGTATTTTAATTATACCTGTAAAAGATGTTTAGAATAATGTGTAAGAATATTAGGTATATAAAATTTTAAAATTTCACACAAAGTTCAAATTTTAAACTCGCAGCGGAAATAAATGAACATTAAAGATTAAAAGTTTAGCCTACAAATGAGTAACATTAGTAAACTAAGACAACATGTTAAAAATTCACTAGTACAAATCAACCATAATATTTTTTACACAATTCTAAAGCATTCTCAACCATCTAGTAAAAAAAGTAAAATATGTCGAGAGTTCGAACGAGATGCAATATATTAAATCAAATATGAAACAAACGAAGAGTACAATAGTTCTAGAACGGGTGTTTGTAAGCCTGTTGACAACCGACCTGACTTGCTGGGATAAAAACGAAGATTTGCAAGTATTATTCAAGGCTTATTGCTCAAATCACTTCACGCGCCCAAATTAAACACAACTTGGCACAAGCGGGATATCAAACTGACTTCAGATATAAGCATGAACCAATTTCACATGCAGTTGCAAACCGACCTCACATTAAAGACAAACAACCGGCTTCTTGAAGGTTCTTTTTCAAAGATTGTCCCCACAAACCGAGGTCCGAGATGGCCGAAATCCAAAGCAGGTGACAAAGTGCCCACATGATTGGACCACATACTACATTCACAATCATTGTTGTTCCCCATTGACCAACAAACTACTTCAAAAGGCTGTTCTGCATTAAATGCAATCCTATCTACCTCGTACCAGAAGTCAAACACACACTACTATAAATAGCAGAATTTATTATTGTACGAGGATCTTTTTACGCACATTCAGCAGCATATGCAAACATAGCTCGGCTGTACAAAATACCGACTTCTTGTACTCAGCAAAAACTCAGAAATAGTAAAAGTTTACATATTTTACGCTTTAATTACTCCATGCTATCATTGAATATCGTTGTTAAATTCCATACAACAACAATTTAGCGCTAGAAGGAGGTGTTATAATTTATTTGAGGTTAATATTCGATTTCCTGCAAACAAGCCACATATCTCTCGTCAAGCTTATGTTTGTTTCCATCAACTAAGCAATCATCATGTGTAATTCTGAACACCAAGAAAGAACTCCAGAAGTTGGAGGTGCTGCCCAGTCTGCCGGAATAACAACCATGCCGTCAACAACACCTGATTACACAACTCTGTTTCAAAACCCAAAATTTGTGAAAGGTTTTTCTGCTTTAATCGCTCAAACAATGCTGGAGACCTCCATTCCCACTCCTGGTCAATCTGCCATACCTATTATTCCGACAAAACCACCGACGCCGCCAGTACAGAGTTGCTAAAAATTCACTAGAGCAAATCAACCACAATAGTTTTTATACAATTCAAAAGCATTCCCAACACGTCTAGTGAAAAAACAAGATATGTCGAGAGCTCGAACGAGATGCAATATATTAGATCAAATTATAAACCGACGAAGAACACAATAGTTCTAGAATGGGTGTCTGTAAGCCATTTTACAAACCTGTCTTCTATTGTAGATAAGAGAGTAGTAATTAAAAATAAGTCTTAGAGAATAATCCATTGCTTGAATATTTGCCAAATTCTATCATTCTCGTCAAAACTCCAAACTTCTCTTGCTTGTCAGTCGCCTTAATGTCCCACGCTGCTGATGCTCCTTTTACTTCTAAAAAAACTCTAGCTGCTTCTTGTTTTTTTTTTTTTCCNATCTTTTTTTGCCTTCTTTTCTTAATCTTTTTCTCTGTATGATTTACAAGATATATCCTTCAGTTCTTATCTCTAATTTCCAAGTAGAAAACCTATTAATATAAAGAAACTAAAAAACAAAAGGAAATCATATAACCAATAATATTCTATCATATATAAGAAACTAATATATATATGGGTGGATCAAATGAGTCCACTCTTTAAAGTGAGCATTTGAGACTTAATCTTAATCGTTGACTTTGTGTATATCAATGACTCGCATTAATCAATTAGAATGTACATTAGTTAAATAATAAAAATATTAATTATTATACTTAAATTAAATATAATAAATAAATTAATTAAGTGATTGACAGCGTTGATCGGCCAACTGCGGCCATTCACCGGCCAGAGTCGTAACCTCCACGGTCAGAGCTCTAACCTCCATGGCCATAGTCGTAACCCCTGCGACAGCCAGAGCCATAAGCTCCTCCAGCAAGTCGCCCCACTTGTCGGGCGGTGGCAAAAACGGCGCAGTTGTCTCGCTCCTGGAAGAGGACGAGGCCGTTGGTGGTGCATCAGACAGAGGCTGGCCCCGCAGTGCAGTTGTCGCAGATATGAGATTTAAGACGCTTCTTGGAAGGGGCGTTGGCAGATCTGAGATATATACGACCCAGTTGTAACAAGATAACTTCAATTTCCATGGCCGACCCCGTCGGCATCGAGGATAACCATCAGGTCGATTGTGAAAACCATTGCCTAATGCCACAGAATAACTTCAAATTCGATGGTCTTGGGCTGGGTTTCACCTTTCGCACTTATGTCATCGTGAAAACCCTCGCTGCCAGCTTAAGCAGCCTGTGATCAAAACTTCAATTTCCATGGCGGATGACGGAGGTCTTAGGGTTGGCGATAGAAGAATCTAATGCTAAAAAATTCAAATTTTGATTTTGGGGTAGGGATTAATTTGTAATTAGACCATTTTGGTAATTTAGGTGCAATTTCAGAAGCTTAAAAGTTATTGCAATTAGATCCTTGAGTTCAATATGTAATTTATTTATAGTTTGAATAATTATAATATGGCCTTGAATTTTTATATTATATAATAAATGCACATATAGTTTATTTCTTGTGCATATTTAGATAATATACAATTCAAAATTTAGGTATAAATAACGCATACTTAATTGAGAACTAGTAATCATCCTGTGCACATGCACAAATAAATAAAATATTATAAGTAATATGTGCAAATTTCTAAATTATAGATAATGAAAATATCACATTTTCAAGATTTGATCATTAGTAAAAATAAAATAATATAAATGATCAATTATTATTCTTATTTTTTTATTTCAGTAACTATAATACAAAGTAGATATATTAGTTGGAGGACAAAACTTCTCTTAGTATATTTATATTATCAAAACGTCAATTAGGACATGTTTATATAGTATAAAAAATAGATTGTATTTAATATTGTATGTGAAACCGTTACATACTAAATATTTAATAATAATAATCTTTGGTTTGTGTAACTAATTTATTGGATGTATCATAAATACTTTTATTAAATGATGTGTCTATTATTATTAATTGCTGACAAGAATTTTATTAAATGAACTCATATTTTTATTAATTGCTACTGGAATAAAATTTAATGAAGTTTGCTAGCAATTATATGTATATAGATAAGAAATGTATATTTAGTTGATTAATTGTGCATATTTAGGTAATAAGAAATGTATATTTAATTCATCTGTAGTGCATATTTATCATATTAAAATAAAACATACACATAATGCATATTTAGTTAATTCATTATGCATATTTAGTTTATATGAAATGCATATTTAGTTCATAGTGCATATTTGTTATCTTTAAATTAAATATATACATAATGCATAATTATTCATTAAATGAATATTTAGTTAATCTACAGTGCATGTTTATTATATTTAAATTTAATATATACATAACACATATTTATTTCATACGAAATGCTTACTTAAATTAAATGTATATTTGTCCTTGATCTCAGGACAAGGTCAAGGACGTCCTCAGAAGGGTCATAACATACATGATGGGAGGTCGGGTCTATGACATCAGGATCCCCAGGCTAAAACAGTAAAAGGGAGAAGAATTTAATTAAGAAGAAAAGAAGTACTCGCTCAATGACTCTTGCCAAGATAGAGAAAAGAAGTACTCGCTCAATGACTCTTGCCAAGATAGAGACATGGTAAGTTAGGGAAGTAGAATCCGAGCGGATCTCTTCCCTAACAAAAACTCTCTTCGGTTTAGAAGTATACAGTCCTATACAATGACAACTTATTCTCTCGATTTACACAACACACAATCCAACATATTTTATATACGTTGTACTTCAGTATCGAGCGAGTACTGAATTGAGCGTCGGTGAGTTTTCTGCAGGGACCTCCCACCCGGCGTATTGCAGGTTATCGAGAGCTCAAGGAAGAAGTTCGTTCCAGGTGAAAGGTGCTCAACCCAATTGTGACCAAAAAGGTGATGTATTTTACGGAACAAGGCAAATGTAATTATATTCGATTGTCACCTTGGTGGCTAGGTGAATGACATGTGGTTCTATGCATAAATTATTCTTTTGAGGACGAGACGTACATTCTTGAGACCTGCAGGATATGATCGTTTCGGCGGCGATTTAAAACCTTTTGGGCAGTGGTTTCACCGTCTTCATTGGCTTTACGAGTTTGAATTTGTCAGAGAACGTTCACATACTACAGAGTGATCGACAATAAGGGATCGACAAAATATAATTTTGGTCAATTGAGTGGTCGACAATCCGAAGTTTTTTGTTGTGGGCCGATCTTGTAGAGATTCGCATGTCTCATGGGATTTTCTTGGACATTTATTGCTTTATTTTTTGTGCATCGTGTTTTCTTTCAGTTACATGGACTTTTTCGGAATGCATATAAGACCTTTTGGGCGATGAGAAGGCTGACTGGTTCGTGGAAAATCAGTGAGGCAAATTGTCAATTTCATTTATTTTGGGAGACACTTTGTTAGCTTTGTAGCTTTATATTGTTAATTTTAAAAAATGACACTTTTGTAGGTTAAAAGAAAATTCCCCTTTCCCGTTTGAATAATAATAATAATCAAGGTTGTCAAAACCGGACCGGTCATCGAACCGGTCAAGCTACTGGTTCAATGGTTACTGGTCCGACCAGTGGTTGAACCGGTTGGACCGTTATTTAATTTATTAATATTTTTAAATATATATAATAATTTATATAATATAATTTATATATAAAGCTTTGTTAATTAAATATTAAGATAATTTATAACATTCAAATACTTAAAATAACATAATAACTTATACATGTATTTTTTATTTTACTGAAATAAATTAAATATATATTTTTTTATTTAAATAGCAACTAATAGTAGGTTGGTTATATATAAATTTTTAATTTTTGAATATTACAACTTAGTTACGAATCACACTCTGGTTAATTTACAGAACCGAGTGAACGCAGCCCAAGGAGGGTGTACTTAGTTACGAGTCACATAAGTAAGGCAACTATGAATCACACTTTGGTCACCATTGGCTGTAAGTCAATTAAATGTTGGTCACCATTGGGTTCCACATAAATTTCATTCTATGAGCCCAGCCCAAGGGATATGTATCTAAAGCCCATTTAATAGTGTCAAATATTTAATAAACTAGGCACATCAACACTCGGTGACACATCCCACATCGAAATGACAAGAAAAGGAATTCTGTTATTTAATTGATCACTTTGGGATGCTCAATCACAAGCTTCCACATTCAAGTGTTGAAACCGTTTAACCCGTGAAACCGGTCCCGGTTCACCGGTTCTTCCGGTTTTGGACCGATTTGGACGGTTTTGGAACGGTTTGAATGGATGGCGGTTTAATGGAGCGAACCGAACCGGAAAAAAATGCAGGCTGGTTCCCGGTTTAACCGGTTGAAACCGGCCGGTCCGGTCCGATTTTGATAACATTGATAATAATTGATAAGATCCAAGATGAATGACTCCGGTTCCTCATCAGGTCCTCTTCGGTTTTGAATGGTAGGTTGGTGGGTGTGGTTCAGTCCATGCACTTGAGTTCGCTGGTACCTGCAAAGCGCCGGAATTGCTCCAGCACAAAACCCTCCGACGCCCAGGTCAGTATCCGACCATAAAGAGAGAGAGAGAGAGAGAGAGAGAGAGAGAGAGAGAGAGAAAGAGAGAGAGAATCATGCGTAATAAATGTTGTAGTGAAATAATGAATTCACCGTACCCTCTCGTCGGTGAATTTACCTCTTATATAGTGACTAGCTGTATGGTCCTCTAGACCATAAATCCTTAGACGTTCATTGTCCGAGCACCTGGCTATGATGACTTCGAGGGCCAAGGCTCGACCCTAAGCCACTTCACCAGTCGACGCTATGGTCGGGGGTCGACTCCTTGGACCGATCGACCCTTGAGCGGGTCGATGCACGGTCGAGATAAGGATCGAGCCTTATGACTTGGGCATCTACCAACCTACGGTAGATCGGTCGCTGCTGGGGCGCATAGGTAGATGCTGGGGCGCATAGGTCGATGTTGGGACGCATAGGTCGCTACTGGGGCGCATAGGTCGATGCTGGGGCGCNAGTTCGACTGCCCGAGTAGGTCGATGCCCCATTGGACCCGGGTATATGCTCGACCGTTCGAGCGGGTCGAACCCCCCACAGTCCTTCTCATCCAGTTCGGCTATTAGGCTTAACCTGAGTCGGTAATATAATCCCTATCAATAATAATAATAATAATAATAATAATAATAATAATATTAATAATAATAATAATATTAATAATAATAATAATAAGATTTTATTTTTTTTATTTGTATCAGTACTATTCTACATAAAAAATAAAATGAAAGAAATATTCATTTTTTCTAAATTTCTTTATAATATCATTGAGACAAACTTTTACTAACCAAAACAACCATACATCAGTGTTTCACAAATATGTGCATCGTTGCGATGGAAAGGATGACAAGTCAAACTCTTGCAAATTTATGGTTCAGGTTAGGCTAGTCACACGTTCAGGCCCACACATCAATGTCTTAACAAATAATTGCTAGAAAAGGCCCAAAGATAGGACGTCTGGCCCAATACAAGACAGGACCACGATTCGACCCGACCGGACCCGTCTAAATTTTTCCAAAAAAGACCGTCTCTACCTCTGCTCTGCCTACAATCAACAGCACCTGGAGACCCCACCACCGTTTTTTCTCAAGCATACAAAACTCAAGAACTCCTCTCTCTCTGTTGTCTATCACATTCGCATATCGCTGCGCAAAAGAAGAAAAAAAATCATTTGATTCAACCGATCAGAGTCTCGGTGTGCGCCCGTTCATGGCCGGCTTACGGCGGCGATCGTTGGTGTTTGGTGAGATTAACTGTTGAAACTGTCGATTGGGGAGATCGGCAGCTTGGGATTTCACAATGTTCGAAGCACACGTAAGTTTTGGTTTTGTTTCGAATCGGTTTGGTACTGCAGGAGCTATTGTTTTGGGGAGGACGGATGTTGGCGGTTTTGCTGTACTGGCTGTATGTTTTTCAGTAACTTTTTTTGGCAGTTTGTGATCAGGAAATTCATGGGAATGAATTAAAGTTTGTGGCTTTATGAAATGTGTGAGTGACGGTTAACTGCATGGGTAGTTCTTGCAGAGGGAACGGAAGCTTATGCACTATTGTATTGAATTCAACGAATATTTACCTTTTTCTAAGACTTTCTGAAAGTTTGTTGAGGTGGAAATTGTTGGTGATGTGGTTGATTTGTGGTCAGTGTATAGGGATCTATGATGTCTTCACACAATGGAAGTTAGGTGAACAGTTAATAAATTCAAGGATTAAAGCAATATATCTTTCTCCGTTTGGGATTTAAACATGAACAAATTGTAAAGAAAATGGTATGACATTCAGGCGGACAAGGTAAAAGATGACCTAGAGTATTCCAATGAATTTTCCGAGCATAAATAATGGACCGGGAAGAAAAAATGGGGAACTAAGTTAGTATTTTATTGTGTGCTTGGGTTGTTGCTATGTTTTTAGGAAGAAGCATAATCTAATTACTTGCATAAATGAGTGGGGTTGGGTAGTCGGTGGAATCTTGGGGGTTTCCAGATTGATAGAAAACTGAAAATTGTTGATAACAACAATGCTACATGAAAAGGCAAAACATCTCAAAGGAGGGTGACCAATAAAATTCAACGTTTATCTTCGAAAACTGAAAACGCTCTTTACTCATTGACAAATTCGACATACTTTTCTGCAGCATGATAAGCTTGCTTTCACAGATATTTTTCTCTTGCTAATCAGTATCCTTGGAAGTTTAAATTCGTCATTATCATTAGTCATTACTGCACAATCGGCAGCCATGGCATGTATATTTGTTATAATTGGTTTTCTAGTGGGGCGATTTTTATAGAGCTACATGTAAGATAATGACAATGGCATATTTGTCTGAGCTCTCATCAAAATGGTTAAGCTAGGTAGTTAGTGGTGATAGCTAAGTGACTGTAGTTTCAGGAGGAATGTTAAAATTGAGTGATTCAAGCTGAGAACTCACACTGCATTTGTATTTGTGAACATATATTGTTCATATTTTTCGACGCAATTGAATTCTCATATTCTTGAAGAAAGCTTTGTTAGACTCTAGTTCACCTTTTATACGTCCTATTGGAAAACTAGAACATTTCTTATGTGTGTGATTGCTAGTGACAAGCAGTTTGTCGGAACTGCTTTTCTGATGATCCAGATTCTTTTGATTTTTATCCCTTGGAATTAAACTACAATAGAAGGAAAAGGGCATAGAAAGCGGTGTAGGTGAGACTATCAAGGCCACATATGAAATTTTGCTTTGAGTAATTTTTGTAAACAAATTGCGACTGACTTGTGTCCATTGAAATTTAAAAAGGGTTTTGCAGTTTCAATTGTTGAAAATTATGCATCTGTCTTTCTTTGTCTTTTGCTTGTCTTTAAATATATCTGCATGCCGAGTGAAACCGATTTAAGTAGGAAAACTGTCTTGTGTAATGCTTTTGTAACAAATGCATTAACTTAACTGTCAAAACATCCAAAGCTTGCATCCCCATCAGTTTTGTAGTTGTGTGTGGCTTTTGAATTGATAATCTTCTAAGGACAGAATTAGAATTTCTAGTTTTTTGTACTGTTTTTCATGAGAGCAGGCCAATCTGCTTTTTCTACTTTCTAGATACCAATGTTTTCTCAGTTAATCATTTTATCATAAAGCTCATTTGTATACTCAGTATATTTTCTTATTTTCATGTTCTAACCTCTTTGGCGTTGTGCTTTTAATTAACTCATCAAATCGTGTTGATTTATCATTTCTGGATTTATTGTTTTTCAGGTTTTGCATTTGCTTCGTAAATATTTGGGTGAGTATGTCCATGGGCTGTCGGCAGAGGCCTTGAGAATCAGTGTCTGGAAAGGTGATTTTTTTGTATTTTTTAGTTTTTTCTTTATATTATTTTGGTTTCTGTAGCACAAGACTTCGATTTTGATGGCTATGTTATCTTATTTTATCAATCAAAATTTGATAGTAGGTTTCTTTAAGTTGGAACTTGGAAGTCATATTTTCTTTTATCATTTTATGTAAAGCGTTTCTACGTATTCTCCCTCTCGTACATTCTTTTCGTTTATTTCTCAAAGCTTCTAATTTACAGCA